CGTCGGGATGTCCAGGAAATTTTTCGCATGACCCCCCACGAGAAGCAGGTCATGATGTTCAGTGCTACCTTGAGCAAAGAGATCCGTCCAGTCTGCCGCAAGTTCATGCAAGATGTAAATACCCTTCTACCTTCTCTCCCTCCACTCCCCGCCCGCTGCCTCCTCCCCTTCCTCGCCCCCTTTCTCCAGACTCCCTTGTCCTTCAAGCACCAAGAAGGGCGCTGTGCCGATCTGAGAGTGATGACTCCCTGAAGAGACACACAGAAGCAGAGACAGCTAGTGTTAGGGTCTGCGCGGGTGCCAGGGAAACTCCGGAAGACTTGGTCGGGTTAACGTGAGAGCGGGTAGTGTTCGACTTTTTAAAAAATCCCAGCATTTTTTAACCTCTTCTACCTTTTGGGGGAGGGCAGGATTTTCTGCCCTACCACCCACCCATCATCATCTCTTACGTGCCCCCTACAGCCACGAGCCTCAAGGTGGCATTGAGCATACAACTGGAGCCTTCTGCTCACCAAAACTCATACTTCACGGGGCAGGAGAGCAAGAGAGGGACAGACAGATGGCAGGGCATGTCCAAAAGAAGAGCAAACAGTACAGATGAATCCTCCTCTTCCCCACCTCCAGGGGTGGGGGCCTTTGGCACCTCAATCCCCGATCCCCTACTCCTTCCCGCCCATACCTCCTTGCACCTATCTGGAACCTCGGTTGACGTGAGCCAGCAACAGAGAAGCACCGTGGCGCGGCGAGGGAATGTGGACGGCACCCAGCAGTGGATGGTGGCAGCAGAGGCCGTGGGGAAACCTGCCCAGGAAGCTGAGGACCATGCCAGCCTTTTTTTCTGTTCCCGGTTTTTCCCTGAACCCAACACGTGCTGTGCCCCTCGTTTTCCCTCATATGTGTTGGGGAGGGGTGTCCTGAATGGGGTGGTGGATTTTTTTTTTTCCTTTAAAAAAAAATTATTTTTTAAATACTCAGGAGAGGGATATGGGAATGGTAAAGTTTATATAACCAGGTTGGTGTTAGGGTTTGGGGCTAGCTGGGGTCCTTTGTATAAGCAGTGGAGTGAGTTCCTCCCCTCCCTGCAGTGCTCCTTCCCATGGGATGATAACTCTTTATCTTTAAGCTGTACTTCTGGCTAGAATTAGATTTGAAGGAGGCCATGGAACTTCTCTTTAGAAAGCCTACCTTGCTAGCCTGTGTTCTGGGATCAGGCTTCTGTTTTTTCCCGTCACACACACACACATTCATTCTCATCTTGGGCCCTGGATCTTCATGTTAACTATGTCCCCCAAGACAGTATGAAGAGTGTTAGGTATGTTGGGCTTTGGTGTTTCGTCAATTTCTGTCTTTTTTATGCTCCTTCCTCCCCTTCAAGGGTGTTTTTTTTTTATTTTTTATTTTAAAGATGAATTCTGACAGGTGTGCCTGTAGTCCCCTCAGGAGGCTGAGGTGGGAGGATCGCTTGAGGTTAGGAGTTTGAGCCTGAAGTGTGCTGTGATCTCTCTTGGGAATAGCCACTGCACTCCAGCCTGGGCAACATTTCAAGGCCCTGTCTCTTTAAAAAGATGAATGCATAGGTATATCTGGTGCTCCGGATTTGTTTTTAACATCATTTACCAATATTTTCCTTATAAACCTGTAGATGGTTTGTCTGTTAGGCCAGAGACCACTCTCATCTAAAACTATTCCCTGTGGTCTGGGGGCAAGTTTTTACTTGCCTGAAACAATTTTTGCTTCTCTTTATGTGGCATTTTTGCCATGTCCATTACAGCATTCTGATCTTAAAAGATTCAGATTAAAAGATGTCCAATTTTCTAGTGTGCATAGTTGAGGCCAGGCACGGTGGCTTATGCCTGTAATCCTAGCACTCTGGGAGGCCGAGGCGGGTGGTCTTGAGTTCAGGAGTTCAAGACCAGCCTGAGTCAGAGTGAGACCCCATCTCTACTAAAAATAGAAAGAAATTAATTGGTCAACTAAAATTATATAGAAAAATTAGCTGGGCATATAGACACATGCCTATGGTCCCAGCTACTCAGGAGGCTGAGGCAGGAGGATTGCTTGAGCCCAGGAGTTTGAGGTTGCTGTGAGCGAGGCTGATGCCACGGCACACACTCTAGCCCAGGCAACCGAGAAAGACTGTCTCAAAAACAAAATATTCGTAGTTGAGCTAAGAGAATCAAATGGAGCACTCCTTGTCCTCTTCCTCATGTTCTTAAAACCAACTCTTGAAGTTATTCTGACCTTGAGTCACTGTTTCCCATCATTTCCCAGATGTTTGGAAATGGTCTCTTTTGAGAATCATCTTCCATTGTTTTCTGCCCACCGCCTCCATTTGAGGTGATGGCATCTAGCCATCAGGTGGTTTCACTGCTCCTTTACTTCCTTTGCAAAGTTTCTTTCCTACAACAGTTTTCAGTTGGGCATTCATTCTTAAAACTCAACTGATAGGAAGGAAATTATATGTAATGCGAAAGAGACCACAATAAAATGTGGGTATTTTTGGGTGTGAGGTGGGGTTTTCAATCTTCTCTCCTCCCCATCCCCCCCATGGGGTGTATTGGAGAACAACTTCCTCCACCCCCCCAGGTTTAACCCCCCCACTCTGCCCTCCTCCCGTTCCCTGCCCCCTTCCTCCCCCTCAGCCAATGGAGATCTTCGTGGATGATGAGACGAAGTTGACGCTGCATGGGTTGCAGCAGTACTACGTGAAACTGAAGGACAACGAGAAGAACCGGAAGCTTTTTGACCTTCTGGATGTCCTTGAGTTCAACCAGGTCAGTTGTTCAAGGTCCAGTAGGGGGATGAGCATTGGATCCATCTCCAGCTGTAGCAGACACCTGTGTGTGAAGCACCCTAAATTGAGGAAACCACACGTGACATGGGAGAAAATGATGAGTGTTTTTGGGGACTGGGCACGGGCAAGGCAGAGGCTGCTTTTCTGTTCTGTGGCAGGCACAATTAGTGAAAGTGAAAACCTCAAGGAAAATAAACTTCAAAAGATAAAATCTTTGAAGGGTTTTAGTGAGTTTGTAAAGATCTTGAACTATTTTGGACATGTTAGGGTTCTTAAATCTGTTTATTCTAGTACTAAGAAGCATTTCATCAATAAAGCTGTTATACGGTCTCTTTGAAGTAAAAACTACTTGCTAGAGTTAGGATAGGTCCCTTAGGATTAATGTTTTGGTTAGCAGAAATATCAGTCATGTTTTTTCAGACCTTAGTCCTAATTTTTGTCATGTATACATGAGGTGGCTTCATCCTTATCTCTTGACAAGTCTGGCAGTTTTGGTTACTGATCTCTGTACCTTCTAAGAGGCCAGTCTGCTCAGGAAAATCAGAGCTGAGAGGAAGACCAAGTTACATTTAGAGCAGAAGAGGAAATACATAGGAGGAGGGAATAAGAGGGTTGAAGAGGAATTCCTTCAGAAGAGTGTGATTGCCAGAAACTCTTCTCACATGTAGTCTGTCTCCCACACCATGGACCCACATTATCTGCTCACACCACCACCACCCCCCACACACAGGTGGTGATCTTTGTGAAGTCTGTGCAGCGATGCATTGCTCTGGCCCAGCTCCTGGTGGAGCAGAACTTCCCAGCCATTGCCATCCACCGTGGGATGCCCCAGGAGGAGCGGTGAGTTGGAGGCAGGGAGGTGTTTTGTGTCTTTGGGAGAAAAAGGCCATTTAGAGAAGGAATCTCAACCTTTTTAAAATTTCTTTTCTCATAAAGGCTTTCTCGATATCAGCAGTTTAAAGATTTTCAACGACGAATTCTCGTGGCTACCAACCTATTTGGCCGAGGCATGGACATTGAGCGGGTGAACATTGCCTTTAACTACGACATGCCTGAGGATTCTGACACCTACCTGCATCGGGTAATGCCCCACACCCAGAGAACATCCCATTGTCCCCACCCTTTATTTTCTCTATCTTTTCACACCTTACATCTTCATCCCTATCTCTGGGTGTCTTCCTTCTGGGTTTTCCAGTCCTACTCTGTTTCCTTCCAGGTGGCCAGAGCAGGCCGGTTTGGCACCAAGGGCTTGGCCATCACGTTTGTGTCAGATGAGAATGATGCCAAGATCCTCAATGATGTGCAAGATCGCTTTGAGGTCAATATTAGTGAGCTGCCTGATGAGATAGACATCTCCTCTTACAGTGAGTATTGATTGCGTGAAACCCTTTGGTTCTCCTTGTTCCTTAGTGTGTTTGTCATAAATCTCATCGTGTAGACGACAGGCACCGCTGTGTAATGGGCACTTGACTGCTTCATCATTGCCCTCCCCTTGATGCTGTGTTGGGATTTTTTTGACCTCTGAGGTCTCATTCTTCCCTCATGTTATTTCTTTCCCCACCCCCAAGTCTTTCCTCTGAATCTGCACCACACACCAACATCTACGTGGTGCATGAGTTCCTGCTCGCTTCGATTTTCCGTACCTTAGTCTAATTGCGACACTTTTTCTCTTCAGTTGAACAGACACGGTAGAGGATTCGCCCGTTCTGGAATGTGACAGTCTGTCCTTCAGGAGAGGACACCAGGCGTGGGGGTGAAGGAGACACTACTGCCACCTGCCCCTGACAGCCCCACCCCTACCACATGGCTTCCCTCTTCTGCATCACCACCACTCCCCAAATCCCATTTCCTGATTTGTCAGAATTTTTTTAACAAAACTAAAAATGAAACGCATGTGTGTTTGTGGAATCTGTGAGTGCTCCTTCCCTTTATTGTATTTGTGGTGAGGTTATTTTAGGGCCGATCCAGAGTAAATTTCTGTGAGGACGGTGTTCTCTGCTGTGGACTAAGGTCAGTGGGTGGGGTCAATGGGGGACGGGACTAAGACTGCAGGCGCCCTGGTTCCTCACTGCCTGCCAATTTCTGCCCCTTCCTGGAGGTGTCTTCAATTTTCTCAGTGGCCTGTGAGAATCTGGGTGGTTTCTGATTACAGGGCTCCTGGAGGTGGTGTATAGTATTTCCCATGTGGAAGGGTGATGTGGGAACTGGTGGGAAGCTTAGAGGTCTCCTTATCTATTCTTAAGCTTCTGGATCTTGAGCACTAGGGGCTGGGCCTCCCAGGCTCCCTCCCGCCCTTCCAGCAGGGCCTGGTACAGCTCCAGCTGCTGCTCCAGCAACTCCTCAGCTTGGGCGAGCTCAGTTGTGTGCTGGAGCCAGGACCCTGCGTGTGAGAGGGAACTGGGGAGGGAGCATTGGCCAGGACAGGGGGCTGAGGCCCCAGGGAAGCTGTGTTGCAGGGTCTGGCTGGAAGTCTGGGATTCCACCCCTCCTTTCCCTTTTTCCACCCTGTTAGTGTAAGGCCACCTGCACTGAGAAGCCCAGGTAGCTCCCTGCATAGGGCTCTGGGGGACAGACAGAGATCACTGGCCCAGGGACTGTAACTGGACACCTTGAACAAGGACAAGGTTATGGGGTCCCTGGAAAGAGGACCAATTGTCCCCTAAAAAATTGGGGATTCCTGTTGAAGGACTCTGGACTGTGTTGCTGTGGAGGAGGAGCCCTGAGTTCTTTCTGGTTTTTTTTTTTTGGTTTAGTTTTTGAGACAGTCTCCCTTAGTTGCCTGCGGCACTTGGGCTAGAGTGCTGTGGTGTCAGCGTAGCTCACAGCAACCTCAAACTCCTGGGCTCAAGCAATCCTCCTGCCTCGGCCTCTTCAGTAGCAGGAACTGTAAGCACATGCTACTATGTCCGGCTAATTTTTTCTATTGTTATAAGAGATGGGGTTTTGGTCTTGATCAGGCTGGTCTTGAACTCTTGACCTCAAGTAATCCTCCTGCCTTGGCCTCCCAGAGTGCTAGGATTACAGGCATGAGCCACTGCACCCTGCCTAGCCCTGAGGTCTGGGCTGGGATGGGGGTGGGCAGGCATTGGGAGCTTGAGAGTTGGGACTAGCCCTGGAGCTACAGGGGTGAGGGTGGTACAGGGTGGGATTGAGAGGATCCCCCCACCCCCAGTATAAATTCTTCACCCCTGCCCTCAGTGCCATTTACCCTGGGAGGGGACCTCATCTTCCCACTACCCCTGGAGCTGGTCATCTCTTCTGTGCTTGCCTTGGGGCCCTGGGAGCAGCACTCATGGGAGCCCTGGGGTACTAGGGACCAGCAGGGCAGGAGGAGGTGAAATGAACAGCCGGAGAGAGCCAGGGCAGGTGAGGCAGGGAGCTATGTGAACTGCCAGCAGCCACCAGGAACTGGCTCCCTCTAGGCCTTGACCTTGCTGTAGTGCCAGGTCCTGCCCAGGCCCCCTCCGTGCCTGCTCTGCTGTCCCCTCTTCCCCCCAATCTGACCCTGGCCAGACAAGAGTCTAGAACAACTATTGTAATGTGAAAAGTGTTCCTACCAGTTTAGGCAGAACTTGCTTTAGAATGTTGGTGCTAGTCTACCACAGGTCTTGTGGCTTTCTTCACATCGTCTTCTCTGACTTAACTCCTCTCAACTCTGCAAGGTTGGTATTACACCACTGGTTTGCAGACGAGGAAACTGGCTCAGATAGTTTTATTTGGCAGTCGCACACTGGGCAAGTGTCTTTTGGGCCAGCTCTGGGCCAGATGTGCTCAAGGCTCCATGGCTGGTTGGTCTGCCTGAGTGCTCATACTGATCTTTCTTAAATACTGATTACCCTTTTACATACTTTTTATTGTGCTTCACTTCATTGCTCCTTGTAGATACTGTGGTGTTTTTTTTTTTTTTTTAAAACAGATTGAAGGTTTGTGGCAACCCTGTGTCCAGCAGGTCTGTTGTTGCCATTTTTCAAACAGCATGTGCTCAACTTCATGTCTCTGTCACATTTTGGTAATTCTTGCAATATTTCAAACTTCATAATATATTCTTTTTTTTTTTTTTTATCTTTCTTCTGACTAAGTGAGCTGGAACATAATATATTCTTTAGATGCAGTATTATACTTGGTACAGTGATCTGTCATCAATGATGAAGTTACTATTGTAATTGTTTTGGGGCACCATGAACTTTACCCATACAGGCTTAGTGGATAAATGTGTGTGTGGTGACAGCTCCACCAACCAGCTGTCCCCTCCAGCTCTGCCCTCCTCGGCCTTCCTATTCTGAGACACAACAATGTTGAAGTTAGGCAAGTCAGTAACCCTGCAGTGTTCAAGTGAAACGCATAGTCAATCTGTGCAGTGAACTTCATTCTTTTAAGAAATTGCCACAGCCACCAACCAACCTCGGTAAGTCAACAGCCATCAACACTGAGGTAAGACCCTCCACCAGCAAAAACAACTTGCTGAAGCCTCAGATGATTGTTAGCATTTTTTTAAAAAAAGTATTTTTTAATGTATGTACATAGTTTTTTTAAACACATTTTATTAAAATTTTATCTTGGCCGGGCGTGGTGGCTCAAGCCTGTACTCCTAGCACTCTGGGAGGCCGAAGCGGGCTGATTGCTCGAGGTCAGGAGTTCGAAACCAGCCTGAGCAAGAGTGAGACCCTGTCTCTACTATAAGTAGAAAGAAATTAATTGGCCACCTAATATATATAGAAAAAATTAGCTGGGCATGATGGCACATGCCTGTGGTCCCATCTACTCGGGAGGCTGAGGCAGCAGGATTGCTTGAGCCCAGGAGTTTGAGGTTGCTGTGAGCTAGGCTGATGCCATGGCACTTACACTAGCCTGGGCAGCAAAGCAAGACTCTGTCTCAAAAAAAAAAAAATTAACATTCTAGAGCTTTTCATATACAAGATAACTTTTACATAATATATTCTTTAGATGCAAACTGCTTTTCAAATTTGGGCCCACACCATGTAAACCTGCTTATAACTTGCTTTTTGTCTTTTTTTATTTAGAAAAAATATGGGATCACAAACTTGCATGCCATCCTTGCTAATCTCTGTATCATTCCAATTTTAGTATATGTGCTGCTGAAGCGAGCACTGTAACTTGCTTTTTGAAAAAAAAATTTTCCCATTTATGAAAACTAGAGCATACTTTACATTTTTTTTTTTTTTTTTTTTTTTGAGACAGAATCTCACTCTTTCCCCAGGGTAGAGTGTCGTGGTGTCAGCATAGCTCACAGCAACCTCAAACTCCTGGGCTCAAGCGATCCTTCTGCCTCAGCCTGCTGTGTAGCTGAGACTACAGGCATGCGCCATGCACCACCATGCCTGGCTAATTTTTCTATATATTTTTAGTTGGCCAATTAATTTCTTTCTATTTATAGTAGAGACGGGCGTCTTGATCTTGCTCAGGCTGGTTTTAAACTCCTGACCTTGAGCGACCCACCTGCCTCTGTCTCCCAGAGTGCTACGATTACAGGAGTGAGCCACCACGCCCAGCCACTTTACATATTTTTTTAAGGCAGGGTTCCACTTTGTTGCCCAGGCTAGAGTGCAGTGGCATCATAGCTCGCTGCAACCTCAGACTCCTGGGATCGAGTGTTCCTCCTGTCTCAGCCTCCCAAGTAGCCGGCCTATGCTGTCACACCTGTCTAATTATACTTTACATATTAATGTTCAGTTCAGTGAGTTTTGACAAACACAGATAATAGCATAACTACCAGCACAATCAGGATATAGAATCTTGCCTGTCATTAGATAATCATCTAATGTATCACTGGGAATGTCACCAGGTTTTCTGTCATTCGGAAGTATAATGATTTAACCAATCTCTTTCTGTTTAGATTGTTTTATAATTTTCCTCTTACTGATTTTGCAATCTGGGGGAATAAAATGAATGAGTGAAATCTGGGATTCTCATTTTCCTGGAGCTGTATCAAATGGGCTTCTCCCTTTTCTGCTGGGAAAATTTTACATCATTCCATACCCAGCTTACATGTTGTCTCCTGGGTGAAGCCCCCACAATGCCAGCTGGAGAGTTGATTAGATGGACATTGCAACAGTCTCTCTCCCTAACTCCAGAATGTAAACTCAGCGCAGAAGTGATGTCTTGGGCAGCTTTGTGTTCCCTGAACCTAGGCTATGTTTAGTTCATACATGCTTCACAAATGTTCATAAAATGAACCAACATTCTACCCTGTTGAGCTAAATTTTGGCACTGTGCTGATTTCTTAGGAGACAGGTACTTTATGAGCATGGTTCGAATATGGGCTGGATGAATTAAGCAGATAAAGATTAAAAAATGTTTTTCCATTTATAAAAACTAGGGCATACTTATTAATGTACAGTTCTGTAAGTTTTGACAAACACAAAAAGTAATGTAACTACCACTACCATAATTTTTTTTAGAGATTACAAACAAGTATACAAAGTATGAGTCCAAATTTGAAAAACAGTTTGCATTTAGATAAAGAATATATGACAAAGTTATTTATTCCAGACCCAAGGATCAGGGAAATTCAGGACTTTTGGGGGATTACTGGTGTGCGGAGAGGCAAATGGTCCCTGTAGAACACCTCATAGAACCAAGTGATCATCTTTACAATTTTAAAATGGCTAGAAGCTTAGCCAGAGGTGCAAATTCATATTTTTGTGTAGTTAATATTTATTGAATGAATGAATGAATGGAAGGAAGGTGTACCAACCCTGCTGGGTAAGTAAGCCAATCAGAGATAGTGCTTCTTCTTGGTGAACTTACAATGGGGAATCAAGGAACTCACCTTGGAAGGGCTCATCTGCACCACCGCCTGCCCCTGCGCGGCCTCTGCTCAGACTTCATTGGTTCAGAGGCTTCTGGCCGCCTCCCCGTCAACAGACCACTGGCCAGTGGTGAGTAGCAATGATGTCCTCACAGGTTGGTTTGTGCTTCAGGAGTCAAATCCTGGGGGGAGAGGGTAGACCATTTACTTTATTACAATTGTAATTATTAACCTTTGTATCTACAACAGCTAGCACAGGACTTGGCACCTAGGTGTTTAAAAATATTTGCAGAAAGGACAAAAACGACCACGACTCTCCGAGTGCCTCCGCCGCCAGGTTGCTCTTCACATACGGTCCATTTCTTAAAAAGCCCCGCAGGCAGGTCTGTAGCGTCTTCCCACGCACAGCGCAGGCCCGGTACCGGCGGCAAAGCCTGCATTCCGGCGCTGCCCGCCTCCGCCTCCCAGGTACGGCAGGCGGCGCTCTGTAAACGGGTCCCGCGTGCGAACCGCATCCTGAGCCGGAGGGGATCAGTCCGAGGAGGCCCCAGAGGCGACGCAGTGAGCTAGTCCGTAAACTGCGAATCAAAGCACCTCCCGCTCGGAGGGCTGTGTAGACTCTACGTGTGGGATGCGTCTGGCTCAGAACCCGAGGTCCAGCAGACACTCAGTAGAGGCCCCTGGTGTCCTCGTGGCCGTGGGAAGAGATTCGGGGGCGCCAGAGGACGCGTCGTGGGCTAGAACCGGCGCTCCCGCCTGTGGATGGGCACCTGGGCAGGGCCCAGTACATAGTTTTTTAGACAATGCTTTTGTGCACTTACTAGATTACGGCGTGGTATAAACCTAACTTTTATATGTACTGGAAAACTAAAACATTTGTGTGGCTTTCTTTGCTGTGGTGATCGGTGATCTGGAACCAAAGACACACTACCTGCAATTTCCCTTTCCCTCTTGTAGGCACAGAATGACTTTGCTTCTTGGCCCTGTTCTGCACTGCCATGTTGGAGGGGTTTGCCTTCTCTACTAGGTCTGGCACCTTTGGGTCACTTGTAACCTGGGCTCCCGACGTATGACATTGTCACAAGTGCTTGAGCCTCCCTCCTCACTACCAGAGCCCTGTGCACACCCAGGGCATGGGCCAGCCTGTGTGTGGATGCCAGCCTCCTGCAGGTGTTCTAAGGGGTGTCCTGTTGAGAGTGGAGGGCACAGCCACAGGCCTAGGCACAGGTGGCTCAGAAGGGAGTGGGCGATCCCAGTTTTGATCATCTGGGAGAAAGAAGGTGCTCAGACAGGAAAACCTGCCTCAAGGCAGGATTGCTGGAGAGTGACAGCTGCTGCCTAGCTCGCCATCTGGGTTATCACTCTGGAGTAGGAGGGAAGAGGCCTTCTTAGAGGTCAGTGGTTCTCACAGTTGGAGCTGAAGCACCTCATGGTTCCCCATTAGCTGATTTGTGGGGCTTTCCCTCTTGTCTCTCAGTGATTGGGTCATACATGACTCATACTTGAGTTGCAATGTGTACACAGCTTAAAGTTTTAATTATTAGAATGTAAGAGGCCCAAACTACTGTTGTTACAGATACATGAAATTGTATAGTGTAAGGTTAAACAACCCATAACCAACTTATACTGAAGCGAAACTAACCACATTTGTGAATTATAAACAAGAATAGCAGCTATTTAGAAAAAGCAAAACAACAAATGGGACTTCTGCAAGATAATCTAAATGATATACTAATAACAATCTTTCCTGGCTGGGCGTGGGGGCTCATGCCTGTAATCCTAACACTTTGGG